CCTCAGTGAAGAACATTACTATAAGAAGATGGGGGGTTGAGACAAGATGGACATCCTTGTTTGAACCTGTTTTCACGGAAAACTTTGGGAAATGAGTTGCTGTCTTCCAGTCTCCTGACCAATATAGGGAAGACAGGTGGTCTGCCTTAGATTACTGCAGTTTATCATATTGTACTTTATCACAATCAAAAGCTTTCTAAAAGATTAAATATATCACATTATAACGCCATAGAGTTATATATTGCTGTTGTTTCTTGCTCAATGGTTAGTAAGGAACAGTGTACCTGTTCTAAATATATACTTTCTGTTTCTTAGAGTACATTTTTTAATTAGATGCTCTTCTGATTTTGCTCTTGTATTTAACGTTGGATGTAATTGATGTATTCCTGAATGGCTTATGATTACCTGGTTCTGTTCCCTGTTTGTGAATGGGTCTTACACTTTTTAGTCAGTAGGCACATCTAAGTCAGATGAGGTCCTCATCTAAGTCACTTGAAATGACTAGTGAGTAGTTGTTTGAAGTTACCTTAGACCCCTTCATTCACTTAATTCTCTAATAAAATAATTTAGAACTGACAGGATTGTCTTTTTACTAGTGGCATGTTACTTGTCGCATTTCCTCCTTTATGAGTAATATACACCATTTTTTTACACATCTTCTGGAATAGACCCATTTGTATCCCTTGGATACTTCATACAAAAATCGAATATTAAAATTAATCTTCCATCTTTTTATGAATGCCAAGTCTCTGTAACTTCTACGTTATAATAATGTAATAAAGTAATACAACCAAAAGTGTAGTGTTACTACATCCATCCATAATCAGAAAGTCTCTAATTCCTAATAGGCCTAGTGTTGCAGCACCCCAGAGCCTGTCTGGAAAGCATGGGGCAGTCTGGACTGGACACCAGAACAGAAATTCTATTCCCTAACAAGTAATACATTTGGGGCTAAGATATGAAAAAGAACTGTAGCAGTATCCCATTGTACACACTGCAGTAGACAGACTATAATGAATGGCTTGGTAGTTGCAATATGGAGTGGGGTAATACATGCAACAAAGTAGTACATGAATGCTGAAGTAATAAAAGCACCACATTTAACTTTGCCAGTTGTTAAATAGTTATTTACAATGTTAACTTTTAATTACAATGCTTTGTACGTTATATCAATTGCACTTTGGTGTAATTATGTTTATGTTTGTGTTTATTATTTTAGGTCATTTCAGCTTATTTATTTTTTATTTCTCTTTAGTATACTCACGATGTGTTTCATATGCTCTGAAGATGCAAAGTGTATGATTCTCTCATCATACACATTTGTGCAGAATCATATTTTGTGGTTGCTCTACACATGTTCAAAAGAAGGGCTATTCTCATTTTGGCATTGCCAATAGATATGTGAAATTTCAGAGTTTTGGAGCAAAAAAAAGTTTTGACCTTTTGTTCATATAAAGTGCAATTTGCAGGGAAACATTGTAATTGATAATAATTGCTTACACATATATAGCACTTTTCTGGACACTCCTCCACCACCACCAATGTGCAGCCCCACCTGGATGATGCAACAGCAGTCATAGTGCACTAGTGTGCTCCCCATACATTGGCTATCAGTGCGTAGGAGAACAGAGTGATGAAGCCAATTAATAGATGGAGGAGATAGGAGGCCATGATTGATAAAGGCCAATGGGAAATTTAGCCAGGATGCTGGGGTTACACCCTAACTCTTTTCGAGAAACACCCTGGGATTTTTAATGACCGCAGAGAGTAAGGATCTTGGTTTGACGTTGCATCCGAAGGACAGCTCCTTTTTACAATATATTGTCCCTGTCACTATAGTGGGGCATTAGCACCCACACCGACCGCAGGGTGAGTGCCCCCTGCTGGCCTCACTAACACCTCTTTCAGTAGCAACCTTAGTTTTTCCCAGGAGGTCTCCTATCAAGGTACTGACCAGGTTCATAGTGCTTAGCTTCAGTGGTTTGCCAGTTGTGAACTGCAGGTTGATACAGCTGCTGGTACCCCTGTTTCAAACAGTTTGATGTGTGGGGTTTAACTAGCTCAGACTTAAGAACAAACTGTACTAAAGAGACAACTAACATTTATAGTTATATATATATTTTAACATATTCTCTCGGAATGAAGTGACCACCTTAATATATAAAAAATCAGGTGTTATAGTACACCCTACATCTTGTAAATTCTGAAGGCTAAGCAAATCCTGAATTACACAGTTTCAACTATAATGTGTAGTGGGACTTTTGCTTCTC